TCCGCTGAGAAAAGGATGCAATACTACCTGTGATCAACACTGTCTGCTATGTAACTACCTGCATCCATATAAAGATGTAGCGCCCCCGGCAAAAGGGACGTGAGTACCGTCGAATAGCACTAGTATGTAAAGCTAAATACCAACTCAGTAGGATGAATAATGATACAAGAGGAACAGTCAAGAATTCAATAAGGCTTCAAATAATATTAAGAGAACAAGTTAAGGATCATATACATTTTCAAGTCAATTTCCATATTATTAGGTTGGTGATGTTTAGCACTAATATTTCACAATTCACAATACCTCCGTATTCTTACACGGAATCTGATCTCAGCCCGATCGGCTAGGCCATCTCATTTGAGACATTACCACAATTTTATTATAATTTTCAACACAGTACTACCATGTGTGCGGCATGGCGTCCGATCACGGCCCGATCGGCTAGGCCATCTGATTTGAGACATTACCACAATTTCATTCACAATACCACCGTATTCTTACACGGATTCCGATCTCGGCCCGATCGGCTAGGCCATCTCATTTGAGATATTACCTTCTTCAGTCAATCATTTGACATCATACTTCTTAACAATTATAAAGTCATTCTTGGCATTTGACCGTATTTCATAATTCTAGTTTCCTTTTTCATGTTCAAATATCATTATCATTATCAACATCAATTGGGTTTCCCATTCAAGACATTAATTCACATATGAGCAATTTAGAAAATCTTAGGCACATAGAGGCCTTTTACATAATTTGGCATAACAATCTTTATTTCGGTCTTGACATGAAAATTTAACATTCCTAACACATATTCCACATTTTTGAACATATTCTCAAATGAAAAGATGATATGATAAAGTATTTAGAATAAACATTGAACAAACATCCTTCAACACAGCTACACTAGGAAAAGCCAATTCAATAATGATCAAGGACTTACTCCAATTACATAAACACCGTGTGATTCGATTCTAAGAAGAAGGGGGTTTAGCCAACATACCTCAATTGAGCTTCTCAAACTCTAAAATGATCCGGAATTCTTAGCAACTTCAATATATTTTAGAAATATAACAAATTAAACCAAAAATTAGGAAGATGATCATGGTTTTAGCTCATCTTAGCATTTTATCAAACACTAGGTGTGCATTAAGGTTCTAAGGCTCTTTTGTGAAAGATTCCATTATTTTCTAACCCACTCTTTACCATTTTTAGCTCACAACCTTCCCATATACTTCAAGAATACATGTATGCAAGACAACAACCCCCACACCCAATAACTACTTCTCTAATTACCCTTTTTTTTTTACAAAATTTCGAAATTGACAGTTAGGACATAGATTCTTACATTTAGGGTGAAGACTTCCTTTGTTAATCCTCAATGATTGAGCAAGAATTGATGGGTAATGGTTAAAGATTTCTCCCCCACTCTAAAAACTCTCTCTCTCTCTCTCACACTAGAATATCATAAATGTGCTCAAAATAAACTACGGGATGTGTTTTAATGGAATTAGGTCGGGTTTAAAAATCCCTAAAATGAAGCTCCAGAACGGGTTCTGCATCCGCAAAATGATCGCAAAAATAGGTGCTAGAGCTGGAAAGAAACTGACCTGGTCTGTGGTCACTATGCGGCCCGCAGACCTGTTCTGCGGTCGCATAATGCATCGCAGAACGGTTCTGCAGTCACATAGTGCACCGCAGAACCTCCCGCCGAAAAATTTCAAGGCGGGATATGCGACAAGAATGCGGCCCGCAAAACGGTTGTGCGGTCGCATAATGGCCGCAAAATTGGGCATCAAAAATGCCCCAGAAATCTGGCCCACTCTACGACTAGTCTGCGGTCCGCATAGTGGTTCTACGGCCGCAGATTGGGCCGCAGAAATGCGTACTTCTGCCCAACGTTTTCCTTCAATTCCCCAACGCACTGTTCAATCAAAAAAGTCCGAACTATTATTATTAACCTCTACGCCTACTTTGGTATCACGGAATTCGGGTTTTTAGAAAAACTTTTACGTGGCCTTACATATTCAAGTCACAATTTTAATGGTGCACGTCTACACGCTCGTCAACTATCGTGTGCGTTACTTCCAAATAATTTATATAACACCAATTCGGGGATTCATACCCTCAGAACCAAGTTTAGAGGTGTTACTTACCTCAATCCGAGTAAAACTCTACTCCAAAATGCCTTTGCCTCTCAAATCGGTCTCCAAACGTCCCAAATCTAGCCACAAGCACTACAATATAATAAATACAGGCTAAAGGAATCAATTCCACAAGAAAATATAAAATTATAGCCAAAAATCAGAAATCGGCTCAAATCCAGCCCTTGGGCCCATGTCTCGAAATCCAACAAAAGTCACAAAACCCGAAAGCTCATTCACTAATGTCTAACCATACCAAATTTACTCAAGTTCGATAAAAAATCCTACTCAAAACCTCAAAATTCTAGCCCAAGAACTCTTCCTCATTTTTCCCAAATTTTCATCTCAAAACACTAATTAAATGCTGAAAATATTGATATATTCGTATATATTGACCAAATCCGAGTTAGAATCACTTACCCCGATGTTTTTCCTTAAAAATCTCTCAAACATTGCCTCTCCCCAAGCTCCAATTTGTCAAAAATGAAAAACATGGGACGAAACCCCCGTTTTTTGACTTAAAGTTTCTGCCTAGGCCTGGCCTCGATTTTCATGACCTCGATTTTTCTCCAACCTCGATTTTTATGACCTCGATTTTCTCCAGCCTCGATTTTCATGACCTCGATTTTCTCCAGCCTCAATTTTCATGACCTCGAATTTCTTCTGCCTCAATTTTCATGACCTCGATTTTCTCTAGCCTCGATTTTTATGACCTCGATTTTCTCCAGCCTCGATTTTTATGACCTCAATTTTTCATGACCTCGATTTTTTATGACCTTGATTTTTCATGACCTCGATTTTTCATAACCTCGATTTTCATGACCTCGATATTTCCAGCAGCAGAAATTTTCAGTAACTGTTTAAGTCCAAATTTTGATCCGTTAACCATCCCAAACTCACCCGAAAGCTCCCGAACACAAACCATATATGAATTTCAATCATAAAATACGTTACGGACCTGCTCGCGCACTCAAAACACTGAAAAGAGGTCGTCTTTACCCGATATTGACCATGGTCAAACTCCCAAATTTCTTAACTTTACTAGTCTCTCAACCAATGATCCAAAAAAAAATACGCCCAAGCCCCTCGGGACCCATCAAATCATAGCAACAAATCCTAAAACATCATACGAACTTAGTCGAAACTTCAAATCACGCCAAACAACAATAGAACCACGAATCATACATCAATTCAAACTTAATGAACTTTGAAATTTTAAGTTTCCACAAACGACGGCGGAACCTATCAAATCAAGTCCGATTGACCTCAAATTTTTTACACAAATTATAAATGACATAACGGACCTATTAAAATTTTCAGAATCGGATTTCGACCCCTATATCAAAAAGTCAATTCCCCGGCCGAACTTCCCAAAAATTCAACTTTCTCCATTTCAAGCCAAATTCCACTACGGACTTCCAAAAAAATTTTCGGATACACTCCTAAGTTCAAAATCACCATACAGTACTATTGGAATCATCAGAATTCGAATCCGAGGTCGTTTACGCATAAGTCAATATCTGGTCAACTTTTCCAACTTAAGTTTTCAATTATGAGACTAAGTGTCTCATTTCACTCCGAAATCCTTACGGACCCGAACCAACTAACCCGGTAAGTTATAAAATAACTGTAAAGAATAACTTGCATAGTAAATGGGGAACGAGGTTATAATACTCAAAACGATTGGCCGAGTCGTTACAACTTCTCCATGAAAGCAAAAGTAGAAATTGAAGAACGAAGTTTATTTTTTATGAATTATCCTTCCTCTCATTATGATTTATTAATAAAATTTAACCTTTTCCACCAATTTGTAGTACTACTTTAGGACCCTAATATTGTAACTCTCAAATTTATCAAATTGTGCGTTTTCACATTTTTTATGCGTACAAGTATAATATAAATTTCTTTAGAGATGCACCAATTAATCAATAAAGAACAAACAATAAATTTAATGTTACCAAACTAATCATTCTTATACTGAGCTTAATTTATTGATCATTCTAATTACCTCTATTAATCCTCTAGATTAAGCTTCAGTCTAATCCTTACTGATAAAAAATAATATTAAAGAAAACATATATACATGAGAAAATGCTCAAATTTTAGCACAATGGAGAATAAAAGGGAAGACATGATGAGACAATATTGAAATTAGTGACACAGAATGACTTAAAAATCCTTAGTGAAAGTAGGGCAAAATTTTTATATGTACCAATGATTATACAAAATTCTTTTGCCTTATATTAGTTTAAATATACTACTTAATATTTTTTAGCTCAACCAAGATTAACCAATACATATCTCATCTTATTAAATATCTTTTAACTATTACCATAAGTTAGGCATAACTTGATGTAAATGTCGAAATTGTAGTTAATTTTTTTTTTTTTGGGTTTTCCGTCAGATATTCGGTATCCGTATTAAGGCCCGATTAAATCCGAATTCATACCGAAAAATATCATATTGAGAGTTAAGATCCATAACAAAAGTGACTCCATACCTATAGCTCGAACCCGATACTTTTGATTATATTACCACTCCACCACAACTCTTGTCTGTGAGATTTCAGTATAGTTTTTACCGCAGTAATAGTACAACAATATAGGTGTATATTTTAAGGGTTGAAAAAGTTTAAGGAGAGGTCGTGCCGTCCAGCCGACGATTACGGGTGTCTCCGTGGGTCCCTTTTTTCTCTTTTCCACTTTTACGACTGCTACTCCAAATATACTCTATACGCTTGCTCTGTTTATGTCTCCAAACCCCACACACACCCACAACTCTCTCTCTCACTAAAAGACTTCACCTTTATCTTCTTCTCCTCCTCCTTTCTCTCTCTAAACTCCCACCATTTCCATGGCTGCAACTCGTGAAGGCCATTACAGAGGAGTAAGAAAGCGTCCATGGGGTCGTTACGCAGCTGAGATACGCGACCCTTGGAAGAAGACACGTGTTTGGTTAGGCACTTTTGACACCCCCGAAGAAGCTGCTCTTGCATACGACGGTGCCGCTCGTTCTCTCCGCGGCGCTAAAGCCAGGACCAACTTTCCGGCGGCGCCTCCTCTTCCTTTTGACCTCAACCTTAATCCTTCAGCTGATCATCATCACCGATTGACATCTTCTTCTTCCCCCTCCGCCCGTAGGCTTATGAATATAGGAGAGTTCTTACAAGTTGGTCATCCAGTACTCAAAGACGTTGTTGGCCCACCGCCGCCGCCGCAATTTAACTTTCCGGTCTCCGGCGTAGCTCCGGTGAAGGAGAATGATGGTGGCGCCGCCGACAAGTATTTCGGGATTGTGAGACGTGGGTTGCCTATTGACTTGAATGAACCGCCGCCGTTGTGGATGTGAAGCCGGCTATGACTTGGTGTAATTCCTAATTTTCTTTTTTCGTTCTCTCTATTTTCAAGCTTTTGAGAGAAGGGTAATTTCTATTAATGAAGAAAAGAAAAAAAAAGAAGTTTGCTTGAGGTATTTATGTTATTACGTACGAGGAAGCATTATCATGTATATACATGTTTCTTGTTTTTTAGATCCTTCTCTATCTTTTTGTAGAATGGTTATCATAAAACTGCTGTGCCCAAGACTTTGTGGTCTAATTTCATCATTTTCTTGTGTTTCTGTACATAACATGTTTACATTTATTCATCTATATTTATTACAATATACATATACGTTGAAAGTGTATATTTAAGTTAGTTGTGTGTACTTGCCTCTGTATAAAATTAAATAACGTACAGACGTACTTGAGCTTCGTTCAATGTGTGTGTATATATATTTGGGGATAGATATAAAAAGTAGTCCAATATATGGACATTTGCTTCAACCGAAGAATAGTTGGACGATGAATTATTCTACCACTGACTTTCTCTGTCCTATTAGGATAATAACGTTGGTAAACTTTTTGTACAAAACGTTAGATACAAAAAAGATTTAAAAAAAGGAGAAAAGAAAAATAGTTACTGAAGTGTAAAACGGTGCATAATAATAGCAGCAATTTTTAAAAAACAGTACTAATATATTAGGAGTACAAGGTCTTTCAGCAAAGGTTCAAATACGTCTTTTTACTCGGATGGATAAGAAAAAGAAAATTAGNGGGGGGGGAGAGATTATGGAGATATGATCTTTAATTTCGCCTTTTAAGGTGGCGCATGGAAGAGCATTACAATTATCTTAGTATAGGAAAAGGGTAAAAGCAGAAAGGTGACTTGTAGTAGAGTATTATTATAGTAGTAACTAGTAACTAGGGTAAAAAATCTTATTGTACATAAAGATCTGCTGACTTATTCTCCAAACAATGCAAATTTAAAATGAAAAGTCCCTTTAAGACAATATTGTACACAGCAGAAAGAATTCTTTTTCAGCTATAACTTTTAGTAAGAGCAGGCCATTCGTTCAGCTTTTCGCTACTTCCCATTAATGTTAGTGGTAGAATAATTCATCATCCATCGTTCAGCCTTTATCATAGTCTACCCATGCTTATTAAGTATAATAATTATATGTACTTATCTTTTAAATAATGTGATATTGTAAATTTTTTGTCTACGTAATTATTATATATAAAAGTTATGTCCCAATTACTTGACAATCTTATGTATGCCATAGTTCAACTGGCCCAAAAAAAGGGACTGTTCAATATTTGCCTCTTCAGCTCAAGTTATATTATTTACCATTTTATTTTTCTAATTACGTCATATTCTGGTACTACTAGGCAAGGGGTCCATTTGATTGTGAGTACGTGTTATAAAAAGATTTTTAAGTTTATAAATTATCCATGACATGTAGTGCTAATGGATTATAAAATGTTGAATGATTTATATTTGATAGAAGGTACGATCGACGAGGATTTTAAAAGATCGCTAAGTATATAAGTCATCCTAGAAGTTTGTCATGTTAATGGATAAAGTGCATGGGGTACAGAATCCATTCAAGAAAAGGTGAACTTATATTTTTGGGGTGAAAATCAGTGTAATTTCTATCGAACTCGAGCTTTATTTATTAGGTAAAAAACCTTTCATATTTTAATAAATGGTAACTAATAACTATGTATCACTTTGATAGTAAATCTAATGAATACTGGCAATAGTTTCTTCAGCAGCTATTAATTAGAGTCCAATTATGATAATGGTAGCATAAGTTATGTTCTAAAGCTTTGTTTTTTTTTACGTTCTAGTTGGTTCGTTTAAAAAATGGAGAGTAAACAACAAGAAAAGGAATTCTTTGTAGCGTAAATAACCTTAACATTAGCAGCCAGTTCGTTTGCACTTTACTCTAATTCCGATTAACTTTATTTAATAATCTTATCTACGCCAGAATGCAACTGGGGAAGAAAAGGATCAATCTTGATTGTTACTCTTGGCTTATTTAATGTATGTACCATCTAATTCATTCTAACATCAATCTCTCGTAGTACGTAGTACGTAGTACGTACTAGCTAAAGGTCCATTTAATAAAGAGTACGTGCCATGAACAGTAGTAAATTTTTTATAAAGAAGCCATAAAATGGACAGCTAATGGATTAAAGAAAGGTATATGATTGAAAGAAGACAGTGAGGGGATTAGGGGACCGAATAACTTTTTCTTTTTCGTGACCTAGAAATTAATCCCCAAAAATTGGGGTTAATGGATAAAGTCATATTTTTCTGGCTTTATGAGAATGGGGTTCGGCAAGCGTGTTGGGATATTGGTGGGGCTAAGTACGCTATATAGATGATTTTAAATTAGATCTTATTAATTGAACAATGTGTAGAAAGAAAAAAAAACGAGAAGAGCTTAAATGGAGACCTAAAAAAAGGTTAAAAATGAAGTGGATACCGTAGAAATAGGTGTTACATAACTTGAGGGGTCTCTTTGTAAATAAGAAGATTAGTGGTTAGTAGAGTTAGTTATTTGTTACGAAGATAGTTAGGAGCTATTATTATCAGTTAGTTAGTTGTATAAGTGGGAACACTGTACAACTGTAAATCACTGTTCCATTTTCTTCTTCAATACAAATATCTTCACGAAGCTCCTCTCTTCTCTGGTTCTCATCTAGGGTTCTTCACTTGTTGATTTCTCACCAAATTCACATGGTATCAGAGCTTACAGATTACAATTGTGAATATGTAAGCTTCGATTCCAGAAGATTCAGAAGAAATTGAACTATCAGAAGTTTCGACTGCAGCTATGGCGAGAGATGATATCGATCACAATCATGTATTGTTTCTGCATCCATCAGACACAACTGGAGCACCGATTATTTCGATTCAATTGACCGGATCAGAAAATTACTCCATCTGGAGCCGTGCGATGAGAATCCAATTGCTTGGGAAGAACAAGTTAGGGTTAGTCGACGGAATATGCAAAAATGAGGATTTCGGTGTTAATTAGGTCATCGGTGGGACCGATGTAACACAATTGTTCTAGGATGGATAATGAGCTCAGTTTCGAAAGGAACTTTTGTCTGGAATTGTATATGCAAAAGATGCATACAAAGTTTGGGAAGACCTGCGAGAAAGATTTGACAAGGTTAATGCTTCGTGAATTTAACAATTACACAAGGAGATTGATACATTGCTTCAAGGAACCAACAATGTTTCAATCTATTTCACTAAACTGTAGGAGTTGTAGGATGAGTATGATAGTATGACACCACCACACTATGCTTGTGTGAAATCACTGGATTTTGCTGCACATTTGAAGAGATAGAGGTTAATGCAGTTCCTCATGGGTCTCAATGAAACATATTAGCAAACAAGGAGTCAAATATTGATGACTCATCCAACTTTAAATGTTAACAAATCATACTCGATGATCATTGAGAGAGAAAGTCAAAGGTCGGTTGCAAACATGACTATCACAGGGGAAAACTTTGAGGCAACGACCTTTTTAACCACAAAAGGAGGAAACTATCAGAAACCTTAAGTGAGTGTTAGTATCTACAAAAATAACATGTATAGATTCTTCAATGCATAAGATTCTTTTATTAAAGACTCTATATGCTTTACTTGAAGGAGAGTAACCAAAAAAAATACCTTCGTCACTTTTTGGATCAAATTTACCCAAGTTATCTTTACCATTGTTGTGAATGAAACATTTACATCCAAATGGATGGAAGTAACTAATGGTTGGTTTATTACCATTCCACAATTCATATGGAGTTTTTTTAAGAAGGGGTCGAATCAGACATCTATTGATAATATGACATGTAGTACTTACAGCTTCTGCCCTAAAGTGGTGAGGCAGAGAATTTTTCACAATCATGGTTCTTGCCATATCCTGTAAAGTTCTATTACGTTCTACCACTCCATTCCGTTGAGGTGATCTTGGCGAAGAGAAGTTATGAGATATTCCTTGATCATTACAAAAGTTTTCAAAGGCTCTGCTTTCGAACTCTCCTCCATAGTCACTTCTGATAGTAGAAATGTAATATCCTTTTTCACGTTGTATCTTCTTACAAAAAACTTCAAAATTCTTTAGAGTGTCATCTTTATGACTCAGAAACATAACCCAACTGAAACGAGAGAAATCATATACGATTACAAAGGCATATTTTCTACCACTAATGCTGGCAGTTCTAGTTGGACCAAACAGATCCATATGCAAGAGTTGAAGGGGTTTAGTAGTAGATACAATATTTTTGGTTTTAAAGGAAGAACAAGTTTGTTTTCCTAATTGACATGCATCACAAATATAATCTTTTGAAAAATCAAGTTTTGGAAGACCAATGACAAGATCGAGGTTAGAGATTTTTTGAATAGTGTGCATGCTAGCATGGCCAAGCTTTCTGTGCCAAACCCAAGGATCATCAATTATAGAGGCTAGACAAATTTGATTATCAAGACTGTCTATGTTGCTTATAGTATAGACATATTTGTCTTTGTTTCCAGAAAGAATAACTGTACCCGATTTGTCTTCAATAAGCCAACAAGATTTTTTAAAACGAACCTCATAGTCATTGTCGCATAGTTGACTGATACTGAGAAGATTGTAACCAAGTTCATCAACTAGGTATACTTCATCTACATCATATGTTGAGCTAAGAGGGACTCTTCCAACTCCAATTACATTTCCTTTTGATTTGTCTCCAAATGTGAAAGTTCCTCCATCTAATTTGGTGGCTGTTTTGAACAGTTGTTTGTCACCAGTCATATGTCTGGAACATGCGCTATCAGGATACCATTTTTCTTTTCTATTTTGCTTGCGTTGTTCCTGCAATACGAAGTTATTTATTTTTAGGTACCCAAGCTTGCTTGGGCCCTGAATGGTTAGTATTCTGAGTGTTAGCTTTGTTTGAGCTCTTGGGTCGCCAGACCCATTTCTTGTTGTCCTTAAACCTGCAATGGTTAGATAAATGACAAAATTTTCCATAG